TTGATCCATTTTGTAAACAACTCAAATTTGTTTACCTCCTCTGCTCAGTATACACCTCATTTAGACCTTCTTTACTGTATATTCTATTATTAATTTAGCTGTAATTTAAGTATTGCATGCACTGTATTTATGTTTTTAATCTTTGTCTTTTAAGTAATTGTTTCACTTGTATGTATATTTTGTGTATTCCTAGCTCAGGAAATCAAATTTCATGTACTGTATGTATATAATTAAACTGGAATCTGAATGTTGAGTCTTGAGGTTGGAGATTCAATCCCTGACTGTGCATTTCTCTTGTGTCTTTGAGCAAATCACTTTATCTGCGTCCACCCACAAGTAAAACTTAATCACATGGACCCTGAGGGAAAAGTGCTTCATATCTAAAAAATGGGTGAAAGGATCAAATCTTGTAAACCCGTATTTAAGGCCGTGTTTCCGCAGCACTTATAATTTCTGCCATAATTTTCTCTAATAAAGTATCTTAAAATTCCCTCCAAATATTTTATTCCATCATGCAACATTATGGACAACAGTGCAATGTGTTCAACATCGTAACATTCATTTTGTTGACACGCAGTTTACCCTTTTTTTGTGTGAGGCCAAGAACGAAATATTCAGTACTATGCTATTTCATTCTGGGAAATAATACTGTCACAATGATGTTTTATTGTACTTCTATATAGAAGTTTTATATAGAAATTCAAGATTTCAAGATTTCATTTATTGTTCAAAAATTGAAATACTAGGCGGCAAACATTTCATTGCAAGGTTACAAAAATATAAGACATATAGAAATGCATAAATAATAACATACTGTATGATTAGAACCCGTATTTAGAAACAATATATATGACAAGGAAATTAGAATTAATTAATACATCACAGTGAGTTGTATTGCTGTAAAAATGTACTGGAGAAAAAGAGGATAAAGAATGCTAGCTTTGTTTGGTGTGCTTTACAGTACAATAAACGATACAGTAGGTAGGGATAGACCTTAGACCTAGGCCCAGCTAGGCACTGTCGACGTCGAGCTCAGCCATTTCAGGTTTCCGTTATATTATTTAATAAGTATGACATATCCTACTTATATTAATTTTAATGTGTTTGATCCTAAGCATACAGTAGGCCACTATGAATAGTTCCCGTAAAAACTAACTCTCAAAAATAATTCTTTGCATGGCGGTTTGACATCGGTCAAAGGTTATTTTATTTTTGCATTCTGAGCTTTTTTATGATAAATTATCTGATTTCTTATACGAAAGCTTATCGGAAACGTTGGGCTCCATTTCCGCAGCAAAAATTAGCAAAGTGGCTGCTTTCCAAAAATTTATCGGATAATATGTTATAAATACCGTACTCGTGCGAATAAGCGCCCCGTTTGAATAAGCGCCCCTCTCGAATAGCCGCCCCTCCTAACGTGAGAATTTCCTTAAGCACCCCGTTTGAATAAGCGCCCACTTCTAATAATTTCATAAGATTTTCTTTTTAGCAAGTCAATAATCCAATCAATCCTGGGACTGTGGTTGTTGGCATGATTTGAGCTGCAGAGTGGAAACACATTCTTCTTTAGGTCAATATCAAAATGAGGATATTTCTCTTGGACTGATGGCCGAGCTCCGATCCCTGGACAGACAGTATATTTCCAACTTTACTCTTTTTACATATGTCTATGCTTATAGTCCTACTCCTCTTTTTCTTTTTCCGACCTTTAGCACATTCTCATCTAAGTTTTCAATAAAGAATACAATGGTCCTGCCATCCTGCTAATCTCAATCGGCCAATGGCCAACAAGCTAACCACTACCCACCACCACTAATTGCATCTGCTATTTTGCTATTATGATATTCACACATTCTTGTCATGAGCCATATGTTCTCTGGATGATTGGGCTATTTTTTCGCCTAAGCACCATTTAAATAATCTTTTTTCATTCAAAATGTGCCTCTTAAATTTAATAATTTCCCATAAGAACCCCTCGATTTAATTCTATTTCCATAGCGCCCCCTCAGTTTCCACTCTCGTTTTCATAAGCGCCCCGTTCGAATAAGCACCCCGTTTGAATAAACGCCCCTGAGAAAGTGCAAAAAAATATTTTAAGCGCCCGGGCGCTTATTCGCGCGAGTATGGTCAGTCAGAATTGGCAACTCTATTAATATTACTCCATCGTCAGAGGTTCGCAATGTTGGTATTACACAGGATTCCACCTTGTCATTGAAGAAACATGTCCTTAATATATGCAGAACAGTTTCTTATCAAATTTGCAGCATCAAACATGTCACTGGGGTTACTTAAAGATGCCACCGCAAAAGTAATCCATGCACTTGTCACATCAAAACTCGACTACTGTAATGGAGTTTTTTTATGGACTACCCAATTCTGTAACTAGGAAACTACAACTCCAGCTTAATGTGCTGTTGGTGGTACATCTAGATCCCTACACATCACTCCTACTCTTCGTCTTCTCCACTGGCTACCCATCAAACAGCGCATCGAGTTCAAGATTTTACTTTTTGTTTATAAATCTCTCCTCCATCATTCCACATATAAATATATATCTGACCTTATTCAATTTACGTTCGGCTACTTGTTCACGCACTCTGAGATCCACAACCAGTTCATTTATACTCTACTGTTCACCCTGCCGTTTAAAATCTTTTGGCAAGCGTTCATTTAGTGTCTTGGCCCCAAATCTTTGGAACGCATTACTTGACACTGTTCGTGAGTCTCCATCTGTTTCCGTGTTTAAGACGAGGCTTAAGACTCACCTGTTTTGCTCTTTTTAATCAGTTCTCCTTTTTTTAGCCTTTTGTGAATCATATTCCAGCGAGCCCTATTCATTTGGGCCTAAAATGCTGGAGAACAGAGCAGTGAGACTGGTTCCTTCTGCTGTCTTCTCTTTGTCTCTGTGGTTGTTTGCTTTTGTTAGTCTTAGGATATTATTCGGTTTTTTACTTCTGCTTCCAAGACTTTGCATTTCAAGCGCATAGAGACTATTGTAATATGCGCTTATTATAAATATACAGCCATACCACCTAAGGAAAGCAGTCTGATTTAATGAGGAACACAATGAACTCAGTGAATGAACACTGTTTAGGGTTTTCCCATCGGCTTAAAAGAGTATATTGCACTGACCTTATATTCTATTTATTGTTTATATCCTGAGTCCATAATTTTTATTTTATTATTCATAAATGACAATAAACATGCAAAACAAATGTATTTCTTTCAGAATACTAGAAAATATTATAATTCTAAAAAAACAAACAAATAAAGATGCATCTAGCAAACTGCATAGTACAAACAGTCAACATTTTTTTTCCACATTTGCATCTACTGTAGTTCAAAAGCACTAGGCAAAGCCCACCTGACTATTGACCTTCGACCTGATGGTGAACTAAAACTGAGGTTGAAACAAGCAAAGAAAGGCGATATGGAGGACAGAAAAAAATGTAGAATTTGATATCTTCCCAAATTCATATCTTGAGAAACATTTTAAGAGTATTTGGAAACAATTGAGACAGGTATGTGTACAGACTCTTCCTATTCATGTGATACTGCAGTGTTTTGGGGTATAAGCCCACCTCTTCTATGCCTGCCCTTACTCTATAGGTTACATCTGATTTTATGTATTAATGTCCCCTCCCCCTTCCCCCCAATCCCAATCAACAGTCCAGGTTTTGAACAAGAAGCTCAGCTGATTTTTTACAAATACTCTCAGGTAAATAAAGATCTTGCCTTTGATTTGTTCATGCAGTGTTGAAAATTCGCCTTTTAAATGCCCTTCCCTATAAAGATGAAACAGTTTTTATGTGAATATAGGATTCCTCAAATACCTTTCAATATATTGACCAGGGGTGTGATTAGAGATGACATGGGAAAGCCCAAGAACACATCAAGTGGTCATCTCTAAGCCTCTGGTCAATATCAATACAAAATACAACAGTAAAATGTATAGGACGGTGGTATTTATGCAGGTTGTTGGTTTTTGTTAGTGTTTTAATGGGGAAAGCATAGAGACCTTGTTTATTTGTACTACTGTATAAATAGGTCTACCTGTAAATATCACTATATGCAAATCCAAAAAAAAAAGAATCATTTCAGATAGAATATAAATTTAATAACAACAACAGTATTTTAATTGATTAGATGAATAAACCAATATGTTTTTATTTACATGTTATAGTATGCAATAATCAATTTTTCCTGCTCTTCCAGCAAAATTTCAGAAGTTTTACACCAAAAGCAGAAAAATTCTGTTGCAGCGAAATCTATAGCGAGTAGAAGCAGGGACTCTCTGATTTCATATGGACCAATTAAAAGCCAGCAAGCCAAGCAGAGTACCCAGTCCACATATGTCAGGATGAATGAGTCTTATCTCAATAGCGCCCTCTATGATAGTGTCTGGAGTGCAGTTGAAACATTGAATAGTAAGTAAAACGGTAATAGAGCATCTTTTTTCTATTATATAATTTTTTTTATTTTGATGGACAAATTGAAAAAGCATCACAAAAAAAAAAAGCAGTCAAAATAAGAAAAAAACAAACAATATCTTTGAATGGCATAGTAATTACTACTATAGGCCCTACATGCTTCAAACTCAATTCTAATTGTGAATAATTCAGTAGTCATCACAAAAACCAGCAGCCGTAACCAACAAATGAAAATTGAGTTTTGAATATATTCTGATTCTTTACACCGTAAGCTTTAAAATGATGGCTCATTACTGCAACTGATTTACTTTTGCCAAAGTTATGAGTAAAAGTATTACAGCTTTGCTGTACTAAAGTATGTACAGTAGAGTACTGACATATACATTGTTATTACTCAGTTTAACATACAGCGACGGTAACGCTGGGTTTGGGATGGCATCCCTCATATATTATATTTATTGTTAATTTAAATATAATTTAAGTATTTTATGCAATGTATTTATGTCTTTCAGGTAATTATTTAATTTATATCTGTATAATGTGTATTCCCAACCCATGAAAACAAATTTCATGTACTGTACTTGTATATTTGTCAATAAATGGAATGGAATCTTGGTTCTTAAAGTTACTGTAGGGTTTCAATCCCTCGCTGTGCATTTTGCTTGTGTCCTTGAATAAAGCACTTTATCTGCACAGTTGGTTTCTTTCCACCCAGAAACAACATTTAAGCATGTTGGCCACGGGGGCAAAGTGCTTTATATCTAAAATAAAACAGAATTGACAAATATTCTAAACTCATTATTAAAGGCAATGCAGTCATATTGATCAACACTGCACACGGTTTCCAATCAAAAGAGTATTTTGCATGCAACTTGCATTCCATTAATTGTTTGTTTATATATTGTTTGTTCATAATTTTTATTTTATTATCCATGCAAAAAAAAAAAGTTGTTTTCTTTATATTAAAATACTAAAAATATTATAATGGCAAAACAGAGATAAATTATCCTTCGGAGTCTGGCTTTAACATACTGGTAATCAGCTTTGTTTAACATCATCATCATTTTTAATACAAGTAATACCAGTATCATTATTATCATTATTATTTTATTTAACATCATATCAGTACAGATCAGCAAATGTTTAATTTAATGGTTAGATTGATGATAATAATAATAATAATAATAATAATAATAATAATAATAATAATAATATGGTATAGATTTATATAGTGTAAATTCCAAATCAATGATCAAAGGCACTGTGCACTTTTTTGATTTTAATTATTTTTTAATTAGAAGCTCGCTATTCAACATCAATGATGAAAGATACGACCAGCATTGGAAGAGCAGCAGTCCTGTGATGATCCAAATGGGCAACAGTTGGCTGGCTGTAAGTGTCATTTAGTCTTTAAGTGGACAGATGAAAAATTTGAAAAAGTCAACTACTGTATAGTAATTTGAAAGAAGCTATGGATTTGTAGCTAGTATGTTATTTTACAAGCTTACAGGTTTCATTGATCACTTTACTTTCAACAAAAATAAGGACTAGAAAGCTTGAAATGCTTACAAAGAAAAAGCAGTAAAACCAGAAACTGAAATAAAGTACATGAAAACAAATTTGAACTATATGATCTCCCTGAAGTGACTTATTCCAATATAGGACACCTGAGTAGCTGTGAATAATAAACTGAACTCATTCAGCTGATGACGTCTTGTTGACAACAAGACGAAAGCTAGCGTAAGTAACATAAAATATTGGTTTACTATTTAAAAATAATTGGATTGAACTAAATCAGTCAAAAAAAATATACCGAACAGCACTTATAAAATAAAATTTATTGAACACAAAGCCTTTTATGCAACAAACTTCTTCAGGATGCTATTTATAATATGAAAATGTCTTAATCATTTTATAGCGCATAGTGGTTCCAGGATTTCCAAGTTTAAGAATCATGATTTCTACTTGTATGTCAATATGAAAGAAATGCTTATATTACTTTATTATTATATTTTTTATTATTATTTATACAATTTTATCTTAAATAAAACATCGCACACAGTTTCTTCTGTAAATATGCAACATTTTTCATATATTCTTAAAACTATTCTATTATACGCACACTCGCATTATACATTATTAGGCTATTAGGCGTTTAATCTTATTATTATTATTATATCTTTTACGAACTCAAAAGCAACTGTCATACACTGCCAGGGGGTGTTGCCGTGGGTGCGTTTTTATCTTTAAATGCAATTCCTAGCATATTCTTAGCCTGTTCATATGCACTGCTACTAAATCATTCAAGGCAAAATTCATATTCTTCAGAATCATCCAATTTTTTTTTTTTTTTTTTTTTTTTGGCCTTTATAGCATTACTAAAAGCTTTACACCTTTTTTCATATAAAGAAATCTTGGAAATCACATGTATGAAACATGTAGGATGCCGGCACCTTGACCTCTGAAGATTAGAGACTAAAAAATTTTCACAAAAACATGATGCAATATTGACAAAAGGATTATTATTGTTTATTTTTGGTAAATATTTCAGCTGCTCTGAATTTTTTCCCTATTCTTCTTTCTTCATGCTTCTTCCATATTTACATTAAATCTAATTTATTTTACTATTAATAAATATTGACACATAATGTTTAAGTAAAAAATATGATTATATGTCATCCAATACAATATTACATCATAGGGAATAAATTCATTCCGGATTCAGTAAATTATTTGTGAATTTTCTTTCCTTTAGTTAATCCAGTGTCAATTTTTTATATTGTAAATGTTGTTTTTACTTACAGACTTGACATAATTAACTATAAGGAAAGAAAATTCACAAATACATTATTACATATTTTAACTGGACTCTAGAACTAGGCTGTGTATGCATTGTGTCTATTTAAGATATCTCAATCTTTGTCATCTAAAGTTGAAGGTATGTCCTGGTCCCGACCCTTTAATGTCACTACTGCATAGGCTTATCTTCCTAAGACTTCTACGAGTGAAGACCTTGTTCGAAGCCAGAAATCAAGTTGTCTTTTACCCAGTACCATTCGTATATTCTATTCGTATGGGAAATCTTTATCCTAGTCAATGATTTTTTTTTTAACAATGATAAACTCTTTATTCTTTATTAAAACCCATAAGTATAGTAGCAGCCCAAGTAGTGTAGTTCAAATGTACAAAGGAACACAAACAAGAAAACACAGAAGGAAACATCAAAAGTACAATTAAAAACCATACTCAAGTACAAAGTCAAATATAATCAAAATATAAAAAGACATAAATAAGTCAGTTACATAATATTATTTTATTTGATATCACACCGCAGAATAATAATCAACACGCATCTGTTTCTGTTAATAAGCAAAAGCGTTTTGATTGGTCTGATGCATATTTACGTACTTTCAATTTAAGGTGGAATCATCGCTTAATTAATGACCTGAAACAAACTATTATTGTTTTTTTAGATTCATGTAACATAGATAGTGCCGTTTCTTCCAACATTTAAACACCTTTAAATGCCCTCTAAAGATCATAATTTTCTAATTTTTTTTCTTATGTTTGGGAGGTTGCGTGGCCCACCCATCGGCTCAGGGCCACGCCCACTAGCTTCCATTTTGGGCAGCCTATTTTGTTTTTCTGGCTAAACCCCAGCCTTACACACTATACTTGGTTGATTTGATAGTACTCCCCAGGAGCCATTAAGTGTTTTAAAGTAGGTTTTGCACACATCCATAGGCTGTATTAGCAAAACCCAGTAGGCCTATCCTTTTGATTTTAATAAAATAGAGAAACCTTATTTGTCCAAAAAAAAGGAAACCCAAACGTTTAAAAAAAAAACAGTACATATGTAAAATTCTAACATAAAAATTTAATGTTCGAAGCAAAAGAAATAAATTATTTCAAGTAGATAAAAATCACCTTATCTTTGTGAGCTAGCTCCCCCCCAATTTACCTTCACTCCCCTCTCAGCCCAACATTTCCAGACTCATAGTTTATATGTCACTGATCAGGCCCGTAACTAGGATTTTTTTGGGGGGTTTCAAATTTGGAAAAAGTGGAGCCTTTTGAAGATGTTAAACGACCAACCAATTGCGCTGACCACATAAATAATTAAGAGTTCCATCTTGAAACTTGTAAAAAGTTGCTACTGTCTATAAAGATTATTTGAACAGGATTGTTTTTTTTTTTTTAAGTTTTTTTTTTTTGCCATCCAAGCGGAGCCAGCTAGCAAACGGCGGGGTTCGTTCGAACCCCCAAACCCAGATGAGTCTGATCTCAGTAGCGCCCATAGTGTCAGGAATGCAGTTGAAACATTGAATACTAATAGTAAAGAAGTAATAGAGCATCTTTCTTCTTTTTATCTAATTGGAATCTTGTTTTCATTTAGTGTGGAAATTTTTGAGTCAACATAAATTAAAAGAGCATCACAAAAATACATCATTCAAAATAAAAGAAAACATAAAAAATGTCTTTGATGGCTTAAAATCAAATCTCAATTCTTAACTGTGATTGCAGTATAATAAACATGGAGAAACTAATGATGATGTTGATTACTAAATTTTTAAATATTTGAACACATTTTAAAGCAAAAAGAACAAGTTTTGAGAAAAAAAGGCTCTGACAGTTGGCACTGGCCAATTTTGTCGATACAATATTGCTCACGTCCTGAGAGGGCGTCTTTCATGACATGTATTCTATTACTATAAATTGCTGTGTTTAGTTTCCAAGACACTTTTATATAGTAAAATCGTCATCATCACATCCAACGGCGGCGGAAGCGGGGGGGCCATTGGCCCTCCCACTTTTTCTACTTGGGGGGGAGGGCCTGGCCCCACACTTTTGGTTTGGGACTGTTCCCAGCACCAGTGACAAACATTTTACAAACGCTGCAATGTCATTTGTATTATTATTGTTGTTATTATTGTTATTATTATTATTATTATTTGATGTTTAATAGACACCTTGTTTATTTTCGTCTTATAAATTGACCTATTATTATAATTATAATATATATATATATATTTTTTTCATTTTCTAACGAGCATTACAAGTTCCATTTTTGAGTTGAGCAACCAAATGTTGATTGACGTCTGTATACGCTCGTCTGTAAATTTTCCTTGAAACCCACCCTCAAGCATAAAGAAAAAAATCGCCTGCCTTTGTGAATTCTGTATTTAGGCATACGGGAGGAGGTACCGTAGGCAGTCTTTAATGGAGCGACGCTCTAATTCTCTTTATGCTAACCACGAAGATGTATTTTAGTAGGTGTAACTGATTGGCTTACAGTAAACCTTCAAACTAGCTGAATGCAACCACATTTAAACTCCATCTAATTTAAGGAAAACAATAACATAATTAATTAGGCCATTTTTAAAAATAAAGTTCTCTGTAGGTTCTACAGAATTTACGCTGTAGTTGTGTTATATATGTTGTAAAAACTGTATTGAGTAAAAAAAAATCTTTCGAATAAAAATATATTTCGCTTGACATTAGGAATTAATCATTTGTGATACAAAATGATATAGGCTATGTCAATCACAATTGAACTGTGGCAGATTCAAGGGGGAGAGTGAGAGTGCCATTTCCAGTGATCTGGAGGTGGCCATAATCATAATTTTTCTTACCTCAGCTCCAAAAGTTGTGCGGATGAGGTGGGTGGACATTTTATTTGCGCAAAACCCTCCCTGGGTCCCCTCTATGTCGACTTCCTGGACCCACCACAGTATCATTTCTACATAGAAGGGTAATTTTTATCCATCGGAGGAAAAGTGAAGTTGTCGTCGGGGAACCAGCCATATCAAGGATAACCCTTCTTTGATTTTGTTCGGAAATCTGTGACGCATTCAAGGGCGGGGCTAAATTGTTCAATTTTTTTTTAAAATGGGGATATATAAGCAAAATTATATTCAAATTTTAAGTCTGTAATGTAATTTCGCGCCATCTAGAGGTGCCATAACCACAAATTTTCTTACCTCAGTCCCAACCATGGTAGGGCTTAGGTGGTATAGATTTTCCATCTTCTAAAGTACCCAGTGGCGAATTCAAGGGGACCCAGCCGGCCCGCCCCGCCCCTAAATTGATAAAAAAAAAAAATGGCGATATAGAGATAATTATATTCAAATTTTATGAAATTCACCAAACTTTGTAAATTATCCGTAGCTTCCAGGGGTCCTCGCCCCCTAGACCCCCAGCCTAGAGGGCCTTAGTGGCCCCTGGCCCCCAGCCTAGATGCTCGCTTCACTCGCATATTGGACCCTGTCTCTTATACACATCTAGATGTGTATAAGAGACAGCCTCCAGATCACTGGAAATGGCTACGTGGGCCGAAAACTAATCTTATCTTTGCACCCTTTATCTCATACTTTTCAAATAATAATAAAGCACGCACACTTGAGTCATGTATTATAGGTAATTCAGATGTTTGTGGGCAGAGATACCGGTATGTTGCAATAAAATATGGTGTACCTTGGCTGTACAGCGCTCTTTCATTAAAACTTGGGTCATGTATGCAGTTTATTTCAACATCTTCTGACTTAACGAAAATTCCATTTCAGACGAAAAGTGAGGGGACAAACACCCCCCCCCCCCCAGTTAAAAATATGTCAGGGGTGAACATGTCCCCTTCCCCATGATATGCACTCATGGGTGCATGAGAGTCAAATTTTCACACCTGAGGTGCGAACACTTTGAGAATACTAACCTCTGGGTGCCCGGAAAATGCATTTTCATAGCTTAAAAATCTTACCAATAATTGTCAAAAATATAATACAATGATTATTTTTCTTAATATGATTTATGAGTTTGGGTTCTTCCAACTTAGGACCCCTGAGTTGTTGTTAGTCTGAACTAAATCAGTAAAAAATATTGAGCAGCAGTTACTTATACTTACTTTACAAAATATAATTTATTGAACACCAAGCTTTTGCAATTAACTTCTTCAGGATGCTATAAATATGAAAATATCTTAATCTCTTTAGCGCATAGTGGTTCCAGGATTTCCAAGTTCAAACATCATATTGATTTCTACTTGTATGTTAATATGAAAGAAATGGTCTTCAATGGAGAATTTGGTTACTGGAAACCAAAAAGAACAATTGGAGACAGGTATGTGCACCCGCCCTTCCTATTCATGTGATACTGTAGTTTTTTTGGGGGGTATAAGCCCACCTCATATGCTTGCTTCTACCTTGTAGGTTATTTACTGATTTTATGTTGTGTTTTTCCCCAATCAAAAGCTCAGTTTTTGACCAATCTCATTTTACCTTTACAAATACATTTAGGGAAAAAATGTAAGATCGGCTTCCATTTGTTCATGCAGTGTTGAAAATTTGCCTTTTAAATGTCCTCCCTATATTATTCTTATAAGTTTGCATGGGAAAGAGTAATAATATATTAATTCTATCATATCATAAATTACGTGCATCGTAATTTTTTAGGCAGCTGCGCCGCGAGCATCTCCATATCAATAGATAGATACGTGCGCCTGATAAATCCCCGATTGATTGATTGATATCTACATGGCGTACCACAAGAATTATTATATACTGTATACTTGCATATAATCTAATCAGCGTATAAGATGACTCCCCAGTTAGAGAAGATTTTTTTGACAATTTTTGTATGTCGGGCGTATAAGACGACCCCCTGTTTGATGGTCGGAGTTCCTCCCTTCTCTTGCTCCCCAATCAGTCGTGCACACCTTGCAGTGTGTTACTACCAGCACAGTGTCTTCTCGGCCAACGCATGTAGGTATGAAAGTAGACTGGGTTCCAGTCCCTAATCTTTGTCTTAATCAGTTGAAATGCTTAAGAATAAATTGATTTTGGCACAAATGGCGTTGCATATTACTTATTTGCATGGCGTTCCATAGTATAGTTTTTCTGGGATTAGGGACTGGGATTTCGAGTGCAGGCACCACGATTTCGTGGTGTATGATGTATTTAACAACTTTGATTTCCGATAGGCTAATTACCACGGCATAAATTAAATATGCTAATTATGCTTCCCCTCGGCCCAGCTAATGATAAGGAGGATTCAGGTCAGCTCAGCTTGTGCACCGCGAGGATTGCTAGGCCCCTATCACAATTCGTCCAACCATGGAGGTAATATTTAAACGCACCTTCACAACAGAAGTGTGCTGCATGGAAAGTATCCAACTTCACGCCAGTTAATAAATACAGTATTATTATCGATATGATACAGCCAAGCTCATGCTTTCTCGCCGGGTTCAGCACATTCAGGTTTAGGCCTAGCCTAGAGAGAGCACAATAGTCAATATTCACGTCGGGTTTGCACATCTATTTGAAATAGGCCTACATATTAGTTTTAACATACAGTAATGTAATTGTTGTAGTTAATATAGCATTAAATAATAATAATACTGTATAAATATTTAATTTTTCAAACTGGCTAAGATTAGGAACCTCAATATGCTATGTACGACAAATGGGTGATTATCATCGTATATATGGACAATTGCATCCTTTGCATAAAGCTGTATTTCCGAAATTTAAACAATGAATAAATATATCAATTTGTTTTTGTTTTTAATTAACATTTGATGAGAAGCTGAGTAATAAATTATTGTTTAATGAGAAAGGTTTAATTTATTGTTCATTGTACAGTATGTTAGCCAAAAAGGAGGCCTAATTGATTTAATTACATGACATCCATTTGTTTTTCAATACATTTATATTTTAATCTTAAATTAATCACAACACATTTCACCCCTTAGTATCGAATTTCTTTCCTTGTATTATTTCTAAGTTACAGTGAGTAATATGCAACTCCAAATTTACAAACAATATTTATAGCATTCTATTGGGCCATAATTAAAACAAATAGACAAAAAGGAGAAAATGTGCAATTCTTTTAATTGTTCTGATCTCCATAGCTATCAGATTTATTTTTCAATAAATATAATCATTCTGTTTAATTTGTAAAAACAAAGAGGCTACATTGCAGGTTAAATGAGAAAACAATTTAGTTGCATGTATTTGGATTAATATACATTCCCATTGTACGAAACTCAAGAAATTATCCAAACCACAGTGATTTTACATTTCAAACTTTATTTGTTGATCTTTCAGTGTTTTACCATATATATTAACTGCTTCAGGAAAAAAAAAATATTTTCACTAATTAACAAACAATTTACTAGATTAATTACCAGTCAATACGTCATTGCAAAAGAATACAGGAAGGATCATACTGTATTTAATTGTTCATTATCATAAGTATATTTCAGTACAATTAATATCGAAATGACAATGGGTTTGGTATACATGAATTTGTGCTTCTCCATCAGATGCTAAGTGTCTCAAGTTTCATTACTTGAAGAAAGTCAGTGGGGATCATCCGGCTGGACTATTCACAGAATATCCATTCCTGCAAAACAATTAAATAAATAGATCTAAACAACAATTTATCAATTTTAATCACAAAATTATCAACAATTTCTGCAACATCAGTACTGTATATGATAAAATTGTAAGAGATAAACCTGTAAAATAAAGACAATGGCATTTTATAATTATAAATTATATAACATTTTTTTTAAAATTATAAATAGTTTGTCCAACTATGTCCTAGCCAAATTTTCATATAGGCATGACTACTTTCCATAACCATGGCACATTTAACATAGACCTTACTTATCATTATTTTATGATTAAAAATAGTTATATATTATAGTATTGATAAATATAGTATTGATAAATTATTTAATGTCAGAGATCCATGTAAAGTGTCTGTCTCATAGTGAAAATGTGAATTATTAATAGCAATTAAATATAGGTTAGCCAATATGCTATGGTTAAAATTAGTGTACCTCCTCTAGATAGAAATAGGGCTGCGAAATTTTGGGAATATTTGGGAAAATATAAATTCCATCAACTGATTGAAAACTGAAGAATAAGCACAAGTACTTATCAAGCAGGTACAATAATAAGTGCATTTACGATCACTCACAACAGAGCCAGACAGAAGGGGTAATTTAAAGACTGACACACCTTTACATTAGTTCTGGCCTCGTTGGTACCATCACCATCATCATTTTATCTAGAGACGAATCTCATAGGCCCAGCTCGTCCCGTCCACTACACCAGCTGAAGGTGGTTAGTTCATGTTTCGCCACGCTAATCAAATTTGTCTTTGTTTGACATTCACTTGTTTTTAAAAATACGTAAACTTACCCGCGACAACTCCCGTAGCTTATCCAGGTATCCATTGTCTTCAATTTTGTGTCGCAGTTGCGACAGCTTGACAGTTTTTCCGTCGGCCTAGGCCTAGTGATGGGCTGATAAATGTTCTAGTCTTTAAAAGGGCCTCGCGTGAACCTAAGGCGGTTCGCAAACCAAATACTTTCTAGACTGCAGCTTTTCCATGCACTTGATCTTGTGCACAGAACAAAAAATTCTCTGGAATACAGCTTTTTTGGCGTTTTCTTTTCCTCCATTAACAATGTACCACGATATTCCACACACCTGCACGTACGGTACCATGTTCCAACTTCCCGACTTCTCTCTACATTCGTGACACCAAAACGAGAACCGTTTGATTGGTTGACCTTCCGTCATAACATTCACCCTAAATTGCCAAATACGGCATCCTAAAAATTACGTCATGCTTGTCACGGCCAGCGGTCTGCATTCGATTTGACTCACTCTTTTACAAGTCTCTAATTCTCATCAAAAAAGTTTCTCAACATAAGCTGACGCTGGTGGCGCTTTCCGAAATGCGCTAATGTACTACGAAAAATCTATAAATTAGAGACTTGTTGCAAGTCTAGTATGAAAGTAGAGAGAAATGCTTACTAAACTTCTAATACACTCATCAGTAAGCATTAAAGTGTGGAATGGTGACTAAAAATGTATACTGACAGAACTTCTTTATTATACTCAAAGTAGTAAGTTACTATTTAAGGAGAAATGCAAGTCCTGACCCTATTCTGCTATCACAATTTCAGGGTTTCAAAGGCTTATGTAATCCATTTTACAGTATGTAAATTTTACAGATGTTTTACAGAAAAAAACCATGGGCTATAGACAAATAAGCTTTTAAAAAATAGTTTTTCGTTGATTGTGACCTTGACCTTTAACCCTTACCCTTGAACATTCAAATACTTTGAGATCTTTGGTTATGGAATATTGTGACCAAGTTTGACAAGTTTGTGATTAAAACTATGGGCTGTAGTAGACACAAATAAAAAAAATAGTTTTTTGCTGATTATTACCTTGACCTTTGACCCTGACCCTTCAAAATTCAATCAGCTCTAGATCTTGGGTAAAGGCCAACATTGTGGCGAAGTTTGATGAATTTCTGATAAAATATGGGCTGTAGTCTGTTCACAACAAATATGCTGACAGACAAATAAATAGGTAAATAAAAAACCAGGTGAAAATATAACCTTGTGCCAACTAAATAGCTAAATAACGAAGTTGGCGGAGGTAATAATAATAATAATTAATAACAATCATCATTTTAATACCAGTAACCTTATCATTATTGTTTTATTTAACATCATATCAGTACCTATCAGGAAATGGTTAGATTATTAATGATAATAAAATGCTAAGGATTTATATACCTGTAGCGCCAATTCCAAATCAATGATCAAAGATGCTGTGCACTCATCTTGATTAATTATGATTTAATTATTTTTGAATTAGATGCTCAGTATTCAACGTCAAAAATGCAAGACCACGACCATCATCAGAAGAGCAGCAGTCCTGTAATGATCCAAATGGGCTGACAATTGGCTGACTTGGGGTCATGACCTCTACTACATAACTAAAAAAGACTAATCAAATGAAGCTTATTCAGACACTGTGTTGGAAGCAATGTTTACAAGGGCGCCCTCAGTCATCAAAGTCTGTAATACAGAAAGGTGAATGTCATTTTGTCTTATGAAGTGCACAGATGGAAAATTTGAAAAATTAATGTAATCATTTAAAACGACAACAAATGTGGTTTAGCGACATAGTACAGTATATTGTATAGCTAGTATAAGTATGTGTTGAATTGTCTTTTTTTCACAGAAAGCAGAAGAAAATTAGAAACATGAATTGAGCTCGTAATGTAATTGGTTAATTGTAAAACTCAATGCTTTTAAGGAAATGAATGTCAGTATAATAGGCCCTTCCCTTTATGCCCTCTCCAATTAAATACCAATTTGTTGTGGTCCAAAATTCACAAATGCTTTTATTTTTTTAAATCTAATTAGAGACCTCTGCAAAGGCCATGGAAATCCCAGTCCCAAAAGTAGTGTGGGGGGGGGGGGGGGGGGGGGGGGGGGGGGAGACAATTTTTAAAAACCGAAGTATAGGTATGAAATCCAAAGGTTAGTTTAAAAATTGAAGGCTAGTATACTCTGACATTATAAAATGATAAATTTATTAATTGTGTAAATAAGGAAAATGCAGTTAGGGGAGGGGAAAGGAGCCGGTGTTGTCGGGGGCGGGGGTGAGGTATGATAGAGTGAAAATATTTTAAACTTATTTTATTTAAAGTTCGGTAACTAGAATGTCATATTTTAAAATCCCTTCGTCCTCTTAATCATTATCATCCACATCATCATCATCATCATAATCACCATTATCAATTGGTAATTAGAATATAATAATAATTAAATCATTATCGACTGATAATAAAATAGACAAAGCATTAAAATTTCAATTTCAAAGTTTATTGATAATAACTTGTTAATTAACAATAACTTGTAGAAAAATATGTATAAAAATGGTGTGCTAATTTTAAATATACAATTAATAAATTTATATTTATTAAGTTATAATATACATTGCAACTATTATTTTTACAATGATAATGATACAATACAACATAGGTTATACAAATGAGTACAAAAGATTTTAAAAGTTTTATTTACAATGCTCCGACTTTTACATTTTTATATATTTTTTATTTTTTTAAAATAGTTATTTACACTTTTTCTTTCAAAATTGCATTACTCAATGTCCCTTCTTCGAAGTGGAGCACGATATGGCGAAAATTGTGTCTGTCCATTTTTGGTTTACCACTTGGTTGCCTTAAAGAGTAATAATGATGATGGTGATGATGATGATGATGATAATAATAATAATAATAATAATAATAATAATAATAATAATAATAATAATAATAACAATAATAATAATAATAAACACAATACAAAACATATAATGTCGATAAAACAAAAAATAATACTACTAAATAATAATAATAATAATCTAAATTTACTACTTAATAGGTATGAAAAATAATAAAATACAATATTGTACTTACTCTTCCAAAAGACTTCTACAAAGGTCTTGTGCTGTCTTGCATCATTTCGGCAAAAGTATCGCATTAATCACAAAATTATAAATAAACGCCGTAAAATATATAGCAGATAATGCTACTCTCAGAGTATACTTTGAAATAATGTAGTTACTAACTAGGCATTGTCTGATAAGGATTCCAATCTAATTAATTAGATATTCATTATACTAGCATCTGATTTGTTACTTAATCTGTCTTCCGTGAAGTCAAGCATTCAATGCATGTATGTAAGGCTCGCGCACATAATGCCTTTTCTCAGAGTATTTATAGTGAAATTTGCAAATAATGCCCAATTGTCTCCCGGTGTACTGTCCAATCACCTCCAGAAGGACCCCAATGGAAATAAGTCTTCTTCTAGACTTTTGTGGGTTATCCTTGGTGTTTACACCAAATAAATCCAATCCAATTATTGACTGACGATAAAACTATGTTTTCTCAAGGAAAATTTAATATTCTTTATGCCATATCAGCCTCATTAATGGTTTAACAGTTGATTTCAAAAAAGGCAATAGTCAAGTTCACTTGTCCTTTTCAGTTTCTGCAACAATAATCAAAATATGGCATCTTCAATGTACTAATAAATTAATGAATATTAAAATTAAATAGATTGTTGGTGATGGAATATCCAGACATTCAGCAATTTCAGCCTAGCACAGAATATAAACAACATGAGAGCAGCTTTATAGTCAGCTAAACTTGTGGTAGCCACTGTGTGTTCCATCGCATTCCCATCGCTGCTCTCTGTGTATTTTAGCTGGAGGACTGAAAATGCAACTTACGATAGCGCACTATCTTTTATTTTTTTAATTTTTATTTATTAGACTTCACACAAGCAAAAATACAATAAAATATCAATGAAATAAAAGATTGCCGGTGACAGGAAAAGGCCAACAGTTGAACAAATCACACCTCTGATAGCGGCCAATCCCAAACTGCACAGCCAGATTTAAAATCAAGTATATAAAAATTTAAAATTGAAAACTTAAAAATGTAACATTTAGATATTGGTCGTGTGTGCATTATGGCCCATGTGCTCGCTTTTAGAAAAATCATTGACAAATTGATCAGATGTTTAATGTTTGTTTAAAACATATAAACAACAAGTAGAATACTCAACTATGTTTTGATATAATCATAATTAATTATATTCAACAAATTAAACATGTTTCTACATTTTCACATTACAATTTCTACACAACTTTTTGAAGGATGAAGGTATCATAATTATACCGAAAATTATATTACAATAAATATTTAATACAATATATATAAATTTGATGATTATTTTTCAGATTGTCATTTAGTTCTGTCTCCTGCTTCATCAATGTACTCCTTGAATGATGCCTGTTCATTGTACGAGCAAAGTTGTTTACACCAAGCTCCCAACACAACATCAATACTCAACGAGTGACAACACCTCCATCCTATCAAGGCCAAGCCTGTCCACCATCACCTTTCAATATGACAGTAAAGTAAATGTTTTAGGTCAATAATTTCTTTTTTATTTCTAATTTTTACTAAATTTTCTACATACTTTGCTAAAAAAGTTTTACAAAACTACTTTTTTTTTTCTAAGTTTTACAAAACTTTTTACACACTTTGTTAAAAGCATGGCTCATCATTCTCTATCTAGAGAATTATAATATTTATTATATTTAATTTAATATTTTCATATTTATAATAGAACCCATTTAATATTAAGCTACAGTTCTTTCACAGGCCTCAGATATTTAAGTTTTTAAATTTATTTATTTGATCTAAATATCATAAAACACCAAATTGAAGCCCTGGGCTTCTTTTTTTTTTCTTTTTTTACAAACTTTTTATGGGCTTTTTTTTCGAAGCTAGTTTTGCAAAGTAAAGATGGGGCTTCTTTTCAAAATGAATGCTGTAAGTTTTGGGAATTATTCCTATATGACCATAAATAAGGCCACTGTAACATCCATCTGTATCATGGAGTGTACCAGCATTAAATCACTTAAACTACTGTATAAACCAAACGTCTTTATAATTTAATTTATTTGAAATTCATGCACAGTGTATGTGCTGTACTATCTGTACTATCTCACATTTTGTGTTGCCAATAGGAACGGAGAGATCATGTGGTATCGTGACGTATTACACTGTAGTACTCTATTTGAACTATTTTTTAAATTATTGTACCACAAGACTCATTTTTTCATGACAGCTCACATATTCTTTGCTGTTTAATCAACACAAAATATTTTACTATAATTTTGGTAAAAAGTAACTAAATTAGTAAAGTGGAGTGATTTCAATTTGTATCTAATTGGAAAAAATGAACATTTATAATGCAGTTCTTTGTTTTTATTTAACACATTTTTAGCCCTGTACAGAAAAAAACAAGTGACATGCTTTAATATGGGTCATGATGACATCACATTATGACCATATATAGACACATCATGATAATGGCACATCATGACTATAGATGGGCACATCATGACTATATATAGGCACATCATGACTATATATGGGCATATATGATACAGCAGTTGTTTGTCAAAGTAAATTTGATAGGGTGGCCAGAGCTGATATATAATACTATAAGCTAAATTGCCACCGATTATTTCAACCAAGCAGTACTAGGTAAAGACAAACTTAGCTTGCTTTGAACAATATCACATATTTTTGGGTTCACGCAAGGAGCTGACCCCAGAGCCTCACTGCTGTTCTTGTTCTTGTTACCAACGCAAAACTCCAAAAGCGTCCAGCATCGCCAGTTAGGAAATGAGCTTGCAGGAAATTTTGTACACATAAACTAAAGGTGATTTCCAACAAACAGTCCTCGCCCTTTTTTTAAGTTGGACCCCAGGGTTCCTACTACGCCTACAAAACAAAAGAGGAGTTAAATAGGGCACATCGCATGGATGGCTCAGTTGGTTATTAAGGATGTGTTCTAAAGAACCTAAGGTTGTGAGTTCGAAATGCATCTTGGTATTCTATTATAATTTTTTTTCCAATTTTAGGAAATTTTTTTTTTTTTTTCCAATTTTAAGATATTTAGATTTTATATAAATGAACATTCTAAATAATATTTATTTTTGTACAAATGAACATTCTAATTATTTAAAAATTTCAATCTTATTAGCTCTTCCAAAAAAACCCAATGTAATAATTTGCGCCTAGTACCTTACTGAAGCGTGGAGGAATATGCGGACCGGTGAGCAGTCTTGTTCAATTTCTGTTTTCCATATTTTTATTAGCATTAAAGGGAGCAGAGTTGAATAGCGTAATATGCTTGCTTTCCAATCCCAAGGTCCTGGGTCCAATTTCTGTCAAATTTAAAAGGACTTGTTCTTATGACTGAAATAATTCCACTCCCTAAGCCTTATAATGAGACTTAGTCTTATGAACAGTTATGTGTATGTTTGTCTTGTGATGGGATTGCCACTTTGAAGAGTGATTAAGTTCACTGTTTGGCATATCCTTGGCCCTAGTGCCTAAATTTGAATAATTTAAAAAATAAAAAAGTTTACTAGTGCTTCCATTATTCCACTCTTAATTCATTCTAAATGGAGATTTCACAATAGTAACTACACGAGCAGAAACATTTGTATGTTGTTGTGGGGGGATTTGCTTTTTCATTAATAGTAAAGCTTTCATTCTCTAAGGGACAATTTCACAATATTAACTACACGGCCAGAGACATTTTTATGTTGTTGGGGAGATTTTTTTTTCTCAATAGTAATGCTTTAATGAGTTTTTATTGTTATTGTAGATTTTACCTTATACTTTTTAACTTTAAACAGATTAAATGTTTGTCTTAATATACACTCATGGTATAAAAATGAAGAATTTGAAAAATCTACAATTGCAAATTTGATAACTAATTTAATGTTTTGGCCCTGTTGTAGTGTACCTAAATATTTTTCATTTCTTTTTGTAATTTACTGTGAGGATTTCATCTGTTTTTTTATGTTTTGATTTTGTATGTGAACGCACTATGCATGCGCGTGTTCCATCGATATAAAGTGTTTGTTTATTAATAATAATTATTATTATGTATTGTACAAAAGAATTTTTGTTTTTTTCAGATAGTCCACGTAATTCGTAACGCTTGCACTTCAAATCAGATGTTTTTAAAATCAATTTTTACTGAATATGGTCTGAATTTCCCAGAAGGTATAAATGATAATAAAGTATTTATCTCCTCATGTTTATTTATCTCTTTCCTGATGAGAATTTTTTTCTGGCCGTTGCTCAAACTTAGACCATGCTTAGACTGTGAAGTATAGATCCCTACTTATTGTGTACTTTGGGTCGCAACAAAATTTTGGGTCACCAAAGCATTTTTTATGGTCGCAAGACTGCTTCTGACTCAGTAAAGCATATTTCGAAACATAGTAAAAAATACTTCTACATAGCCGTAATACAAATGAATTAAATTAACCCAGAGGTAGCTCTGTCAACCCAAATCCTAGAAGAACCTACGCCCATTGTTGTACCATCTCCAATCTCAGGGATTGATAAGGTCATTAAACTGAATTTGGCAGGAACATTTCACTAATAACAAGACGGACCAGTCAACAAGTAATAGTTGCATCGTGTTAAAAATGAGTTAATTCTATTCTTTTTTTTAATTTGTTGGGGACGTGCAAGCTTCACTTATTTTTTCAATTTCTCTCTACCCAGTTCACCTCGCCCAATTCGTCATTGTGTTATTGAACTTTTGCGTTAATAAGCATTTCAAAATTAGGAGTGTAGTAAATAGGCCTGTACGCAACAATATAAAATGGAACATTCTCCACATGATCAACGGTAACAAATGCCTTGTGTACTTTGCTAGTAAATATAAATAGAAACGTTTTGTCTCAGTCTATACATACCCGAGGTTGACTATCGAAATAAAATAGCATATTTTTATTATTAAGAGGCAAGTGGTTTAGCCATCAAAATATACTATCATAGATTTTCCATAAAAAAAAAAAAAAATAATTAAAAAAAATAATAAAACACCAAAAAAAACCCCCCAAAAAACAGACGAATACAAGGTACTGTATATGTCAGAAAACAGAAGCATTATGATTTCATTTGGCCCTTTTAAAACCCCGACTTAAATTTTATCCTTTTTTTTTCCACAATTTTAATCTATTTATGTTCTTGTTTAATGTTGTTTCCTTTCCTCTTCATCTTGACACTGGGTAAAATAATGCATAGAGTTTAGACTATTATTGAGGTAGTGGCAAGTAATAGGCCTAAAGTTGATAAGCTGCATTCACATTGGATCTGAACCAAAATTCTGACCGCGTTTCCGATGAGCTGAACACCAGCGTCTCCATTCTTACACACTAAAGCTACATTTATAGTACACTAGACACGATAAATTGGTTCAGTTCATAATTTCTGCAGTAGCAGAGTATGTGTATCAGGCAGTTTTCCTGATGGCTATCCAATTAAATGTGGTGTTCCTCCCCAGGGATCAGTTGCAGGTTCGCAAATTAATGCCTATTTAAAGCCGGTGACTAATATTTTTAAGCGCTTTGGTGTTTTGTATCATATCTATGCTGACGACACACAGTTGTACGTTAGTTATCACTTAAAAGTACCTGGTGAATGCTGGAAAATAAGTTGAAGCTTAAGAATCGCACTCCAATGTACAGCTTCTTCAAAAACATCAAAATCGTGCCGCAAGGCTGGTTTATTGGCGCGCAAAAAAATTCGCCATTGCTATGACAACTTTACTGGTTGCCAGTCCAGCAGAGAATAGACTTTAATACTGCATGTGTACAATAGTGTTCATGAAATAGTCCCAACATATTTTATTCAAAATATGCTTAAAAAGTTTCAGCCTGGTCGTGTAGGTCTGAGGTCTTCTGATGATCCCCTACGACTTGTAGTTCCCATTACAAAAAGAGATTTTAGTGAAAGTGCTTTTTCTGTGATTGGTCCAAAGTTATGGAATTATCTCCTCTATGAGATCCGCCAATCTTGTAAGTGCAATTTTTTAAAACTCTTACTAACACATGCATTAAACTGATTCCTATTTTGAAATTAGCATTAAAGGATATTTTTTTAATATTACTATTATTATCCTTATTTTTATTTATTTTTTAAATAATTATATTATATTAATGTTTTATAAGCCAGATTTTTTTTATTCTCAAAAGTAGATTCCTATTTTCAAATGAGCATTAAATGGATATTATTCTTAAATTACTGTTATTCTTTATTTTTAAATTTTTAAATCTTCTAAACCGTATTTAAAAGTAACAATCTGATTGAATAAGCAACACAGAAAGCTGTGTGGGTAAACATAGCACATGGTTTTTTGATCAGATTTAACCAGCAGTGCCTGACACTACTCTCTTAATAGAGAAGTTTACCAAGCTTGCATTCCATTTTGTTTGGTTTATATATCTTTTTAAAATTATTTTGTATTTTAATTCATAAATAAACATGAAAATGAACATGGAAAAAAATGTGTAAAAAATCTGAAACATTATAATGGCAAAAAAGAAAAAACAGATATAGTAAAGATGAAGTAGCACACTGCATAGTACAAACATTGAGCAATTTCTCTATATTATTTGCATCTACTTTAGTTCTAAAGCAGCGGGGAAGGGTCACCTGACTATTGACCTTCAACCTGATGGTGAACGCGCTCAAAATGAGGTTGAAAGAATGGATGTGTGGGATAGGTCTGTGAAACACAATTGAAGCCATGGGAACGTCTGAGCAGTGTCTGTAAGTTACCTTGAAGTGAGTCATTCTTGTGTTTACCTTAATTTTGTTAGCCGAACAAAAGGCATTAATGTTGTTGAAAATTTACAGATGCAGAACCAATTGTCTAGCTGTGACTGGCTGTAATATTACAGCATGTTTATACTTCAGACAGCCTGATACTGAATACACAGTCATCAATACAATTATCATCAGCATTATCCTCATCTTCGTCAATATCACCATCAATAAAGCCAGGCTCCAGGTGAACAACACAATTGATAAGTTGTACAACTGATTTTTGTCAGACTCAAAAGGCTGTTTAACGAAAACCATCGGAACAGTTAATGAGACATATTTTTGAATATTTAAAAACTGAGAAAAAAAAAGCTATATAATTTCATTTCCTCCAGAGCCTGCAGCTTAAACATAATCATAATCTTATCATAATCATCATTTTTAAACCTAATATTTTATTATTATTCTACCTAGATCTATATTAATATTGAGACATATTAAGCCCTTAGGCTTGTGTGTCCCTCTGTACATGACAATCCTCGAATCGGTCACAGGTGGTGTACTTCAACAGGTGACAACGCCAATGCACTTCCAATCGAGATTTTAATATATTCATTGTGTCAGACTCAATAATATTCTTATTCAGATTGTTCTATAGATTAACAATGTAAATTGAAAAAAAAAAATTCTGATGGAATTTTAGTCCAGCAAAGCCTATTTTACCAACTTCAATTTATGACCTTTTGTCCTCAAACTTTCTGCTAACTTAAAAATTGGGTACTTTCAATACCATCATATTCTTTAAATAACCTGAAAACTTGAATTAATGCAGAACTCAATCTTCTAAAACAGCGTTCCGCAAACTTTTTACTTCACGGCCTATTTACGATTCTAGGCACCAAGCCGCGGCCCAGCAGCTCAGCTGCGCCACGGACCAACATACCAAATCTGGGCAAGAAATTCTGATCATGAAGCCTCCATGTATATACAATATTTTGACATCATTACCTGTTTTCTCAGTGATAAAATTTTATTGTATACAAATTAAATATTATTTTATTAAATAAATAATACCGTACATTTGTGTTGCCCCCCCCGCCCCACGACAATTGTTGATTGTTTCTTTTTTCTACCATGATTCAACCAAACACGGTTCAGCCACACACGTCTTAGCAGGGCCGTAGCCACGAGAAGTGAAATGGTCCGATTGCGAGCGAAGCACGAGCACTGATGATTGGGGCTAGGGGGCCGCCAAGGGCCCCAAGTCGGGAGTTCAGGGTTCCGGGGCCATTAAACTGTAATATTATTGTAAACCGTTAAACTGTAATATTATTACATTAAGCCATTAAACTGTAATATTATTAACTAAGACCAATCAACGCATAACATAAAACATGTACATATCAAAATTATTATGGTTAATCTCTCCTCGTCGGTGCTTGCATAAAACGTGATTTGGATCTAACATGATGATATTGATAAACAATCGAAATTCTCTGTACAGTATTATGCTAAACATTTGCAGAGTGGACTTCCTTATGTTGAGGTCATATTAGACTGTAACATTATTATTAAAGAAGTCCATTCAACAAACAACATAAAACATATACATATCAAAGTTATTAGGTTAAAGTTGTCATTTCGGTGCATTCATAAAACGTAATTTCCTAAAATTTGGATATCTGAGATTGACAAACAAAATTCTCTATATATACTAATTTAATGAGTGGACTTCCTTGATTTAAGCAATATATATGTATATTGAAATACGCAAAGTTTAGTAGGTTAGAAGTTTAAAGGATAGGACTTTCATATTGTGGACATATTAGACTGTAATAATCTCATTAAAAATCATTCAACATGAAACATATCAAAATTATTAATTTAAACTTTCTACTTCGGTGCATGAATGTAACGTAATTTTGGGATATATGAGATTTACTTAACATTTGAGAATGTACTGAGTATAAAATCTTAAATTTTACATTTTAATCAGCAATCTATCAGAAATACTGGGATTGGTTATACTGTAAAACCTTCAGAAACCCCTGCAATACTAAAACTGGAATCCAACAGGCAGTGAATGTTCCATTTTGATTCAGTGTAGATATTTTTTACATATTTTAAATTTTATTTGAATTCTTTTTATTTTGTATGATTCATATGTTATATTTTCCACAGACAGATAAATGAATGCCTGAACTGATATTTTATGAGTTTCAGATTTTACTTTCTATACAAAACAGATAACATAAATCATCTATAATTGTCCGACTGTGTGCATTGAACATTTGACGACGACGATAATGTCTCCAAATTCCCAACCGTAACTTAGGCTACAGGCCTCGCTTGACGCTTCACATCAAAGGGCCTGTTAATTAATCTTGCACAGCTTCCTCCTCATTATCATCATCTTCTTCATCATCATAATTATTAATTGTCCATAGCAAAGTAGGGAAAAACTACGAATTCAGAGTGTATGACGTCTCATAATGCACGAAGTGTAATTCAAATCATCATCTAGAAAACAAAACCTTTTCGAATATCTAAAATTTATCTTCCAGCGACAAAACAAGCTAAGCTCTCTTCTCATGACTCTCCCAATATGGGCACACATCTGTGTGAAAGCCAGGGTAAACCCTGGATCTGCACTTGACATGTATTTAATGCTTAAAAAAGGTATATTTACAGTATATTTATAGAAAATAATGTTGCATTCTAGAACTATCATGAATATATATACAGATAAAGGCTCCCGAGGGGGCATAGACACAAAAACCGCTTATAACTCAAATAACACGCATCATCTGGCACTTTAGCACCTTGTGCAAGCGACGCAATCGTTGTAACAATGAAGCTTATTAAAAACTATTTTCTACGTGATAAAACGTCTCTTTGTTATTTTTTCAATTTCCAGACGGACCATAGTTTGCGGAACGTCGTTCTAAAATGTAGGGTTGGAATATTTAAAATGCGTAGACGTGATCCCTAGCTGTTGAATCGAATCTTCCGAGTCATTCGCGTCGCTCGTTGCTGGACTTTTTCCAATTTATGAAAAATATGTTGCCACACAGGACTACAATATTCTTGGGAAAGTCTGATTATCACTTTGTAAAGATGATCTAAGGATTTCCTATCCAAGTATTGAAAAGAACTTTTTAACAAAGGGTTGGCAGTAGTATATTAATATCTATATTAGATAGAATTTATAATTTTAAGTAGACAGTCCATAATTTATAAGTAGGTTTGTGTCTAGCTATTTAAGAAGATACTATGTAGGCCCAATAATTAGATAAAATTAACATATTATTAGCAGATTCTAAGTAGATTTTGTCTGTCTATTAAGGTGACTGATAGAACAATTTGTACTTCATCAATAGACCACTGATAGGTAGATGGTAATAGAATATTAGTAGTTATTGTTATTGAAAACCTCCGCAAAATATATGCTAATGAAGCGAAAAAACTACTAAAATCTACTGAAACCTACCTATTAGTAGGCATTTAATAATCAATAGGGCTAAATCGACTAAGTGCCATATGGCTAAATATCCTAAAAATGAGTAACGTCTACTAAGGAATTTCGGTATGGGGTAGTGCAATCGCTTGCCTCAAATCACAAGCCCAGCACCTAAAAACTTTGTTAAAAACCAGATTTATATTTTAAACTCTCAATTTTTATATTGAAAACCTCCGCAAAATATATGCTAATGAAGCGAAAAAAACTACTAAAATCTACTGAAACCTACCTATTAGTAGGCATTTAATAATCAATAGGGCTAAATCGACTAAGTGCCATATGGCTAAATATCCTAAAAATGAGTAACGTCTACTAAGGAATTTCGGTATGGGGTAGTGCAATCGCTTGCCTCAAATCACAAGCCCAGCACCTAAAAACTTTGTTAAAAACCAGATTTATATTTTAAACTCTCAATTTTTATCAACTATCCAAAAAAATACATCCTCATTAACACAGTTAGCCAATGAAGACTTGATTTTGTTTTGGTAGAATATGTTGCGCAGGTTACAGAAGTACATGATAATAAACAGGAATTGGAGTATGGCATGGTATGTCGATGTTCACAAATATGATGAGAAAGCAACTATCTTTATTTTAAAATGTTGCACTGATAATTATGGTATAGTTAACAAATTACAAATAGTGCAATCGTTACCATTTGTATTCATGGACAATAGAGATAGCTGGTATCATTTCTCGGAGACCATTGAAAAATGCAGGGTAAAACTAAAATAATAAGAATAATGCTAGTTATATTGTTTACAATTTCACTTTGCAAAACCAGGTGAGATTTGTACTGCACTGTGGTCAACAAACTACTTGTCACTCTGTTACTGGAAGGATGCATTAATTATGTCATGTCATTTATATACATCAACCACTTTTCAAATCAAAGTATATCAATAAAGGTTTATGAATACTGAAATATGTAATTATCCTTAGAAACTCATTTAAAGAATTCGTAGAGCTTTGGCAATATCTATTTTGGTAAAAAACCATGTCCATTTTGCATCACTCTGTTACTGAATTAAGATTATTCATATTTCATAATTTTGATGGATAATTTGTTTAAGGTACATAATTTTATAATTATAATATCAGTAGTAATAGACACTTGGTAAGGTGTTTGTTGGTTGGGAATATATTTTCTGTTTAAAAGTTTAAATTATTGTATTGGAAATGTCCTTTAATAATTGTTTATGTGACAGGAATTGAACCCATGACCCTGGGATAGCAAAGCAAGTATATTTCTACCAAGATTTCCAGGTTCACTAATTATTTATTATTAATGATGATAATAATAATCTTGGAGTCGATTTTGATGTCATTTGTTGTGAACAATTTAATGTGGCTAAGATTTCATTTTTAGTATATGCATTCTCTGTGTGAGGTCTTATTAGCAACAAGCAAAAAACAGTTATCATAGATATGAAGAAGCAAATTCTAGACCTGATTTCTAACTAGCAGTTAATTTAGATTCACTGTACCCTTTCATTACCATTATTATTATTGTCATATATTAACATATTTGTTCTTTACAGCTTACTTCTAGTGAGTCCATCAATGATGTTGAAGAAACAAACAGGTAAGAAATGACAGATTAATGATAATTCATTATTTTCTTTTTATTTTACTAATACATGCATTATTAGATTCTTGTTTTGAAATAAGTATTAACGGATATTATTTTAATATTATTACTATTTTTATTTAATTGTTTTAAAATAATATATTAATGTTTTCAGTAACTGATTGTTTATTCCCAAAATTTATCATAATAATTTTAATTATTTATTTTGTTGAATAGTGGTTTGGGAGACAAGGCCTGTAGCCATTGTGTGATGACAGGATGTGTGGCCTGTAGATCTGAAGATTCTCTCCACAGCCATGTAATGCACAGTGATAGGTATGGTACCCCTCAAATTATCAATATTTGACCTCTACTTATGCATAGCGCCAAAGAACTGTGTGTGTAATAAAATAAAATAACAAAGTGCATGGTGATTCGTTCTCATATCATCATATATCATTGATTTTGCCTTTACATAAAATGCAATGCAGAAATACAAGGAATACAGTAAAGCTGCGAGGCAGGTTTGCTGAAATTATATAAAATAAATAACAGTCCAAGTTTTTTAAACCATGTATTTAAGGGAAAGCAGTCTAACTTTAAACAATTAACATACGGAACTTATTCCATTTATTGTTTGTTTATATCTTGTTTCATAATTCTAATTTTATTATTTTTAAATGACAATAAAATTGCCAAAATTATATTTCTTAAATTCCAAATATTATTTTGCAAAATATTTTGGTATAACGATAATGATGCATGTATTACTGCACAGCAGACAAAGCCCACCTGGCTATTGACCTTTAACCTGATGGTGAATGCACTCAAGCTGAGGTTGGTGAGATAGAGTGAAACAGAATTACAAGCCATGGAAATGTGCGGACAGCTGTATGTACGTTACCTTGAAGTGAGTCATTCTTGTGTTCATGTTAATTTTGCAAGCCGAACAAAATGTTGTTGAAAATTCACAGATCCAGAACCAAATGTCCTGTGACTGGCTGTAATATACAGCATGTTTATTCTTCAGACATAGCCTGATACTGAATACATAATAATCAATACAATTATCATCAGGATTATTCTCATCTTTTTATCATCAAAAGGAGCCTACCTTTAGCATAATCATCCTCATCTTTATCATCATTATATACTTATAATCAATATCATCATTATTTTTATCATTATAATCATTATTTTTTTTGTTTAACATATCCTCAGTACAGGTCAGCAAATGTTTAAATAGTTAAGCTCTGTCCAGGTTATTGAAAAATTATCTGTTGTCATGATGTGATGATAATAATAATAATAATAATTATAATCATCATTTTAATACCAGTAACATTTTTATCATTTTTTTTATTTAACGTCAGATCAGTACGTATCAGCAAATGTTTTAATTAAGTGGTTAGATTATTAATAATACAAATAAAATGTTAAGGATTTATATAGCGCCAAATCCAAATCAGTGGTCACAGACGCTGTGCACCTGTCTTGATTATTTTTTATGATTTAATTATTTTTTAATTAGATGCTCGGTACTGAACGTCAGTGATGCAGACTGTGATCATCATCGGAAGAGCAACAGTCCTGTATTGATCCAAATGGGCAACACTTGGCTGGCCGGGGGTCATGACCCCACATATCTTGTTTCACAATTCTAATCTTTTAATGTTCTTGTTTTATGTCGTTTCCTTTTCTTTGACACTGGGTAAAATAACGCATAGAGCTCAGACATAGCACAGTATTGTGCGCTCTAGAATTGGAAGACCATTACCATTATTGAGCTTGTGGCAAGTAATAGGCCTAAGTTAAGCTGCATTCACACTGGATCTACCGACATTTGGACCGCGTTTCAGATGCGCTGAACGCTAGTGTCCCTTAATCCCTAGGATACTAATCCGATTTCTGATCGGTTTGGTATGCAGTGCAGCTTAATCAACACATAACATGAGAATAGCATTGTGGTATGACAATTATAATGCTGTCTCTTATACACATCTAGATGTGTATAAGAGACAGGTACAGTATATTGTATAGCTAGTATAAAAATGTGTTGCTAGTATGTGAAAAATATTTTTCTAGACATACTGCCTGTGTTATACTGACAAATTTGTATTTTTTTTGTGTTAATGTACAATAATGTATTGTTTAATTGTAAAACTGAATGCTTAAGGAAATGAAAGTTAGTGTAATACACAGCCTTTCCCTTTAATGCCCTCTCCAATTAAATACCAATTTTTGTAAATGTTTTGGGTCAATAATTTCTTCTTTTTTTTTCTAATTTTTACAAAACTTTTTACATACTTTGTTAAAAGCGTGGCTCATCATTCCCTATTTAGAGAATTAATATAACATTTATTATGTTTAAGTTAATATTTTCATATTTATAATAGAACCCATTTAATATTAAGCTACAGTTCTTTAACATAGCTCAGATATTTAAGTTTTTAAGTTTATTTATTTGATCTAAATACCGTCAAACCTCAATTTGAAGCCCTGGGCTTCTTTCGAGATGGGTTTCTTTTCAAGGCTACATTTTGCAAACTAAAGATGGGGCTTCAATTTGAGATGGGCTTCTCAAGATTAGGCCCATTGGGCTTCTACTCGAGGTTTTGTGGTATATCAATACTAATTGTTTTCAATTATTGTACCACAAGACTCATTTTGTCACCACAGCTCACATATTCTTGGCAAAGGCTTATAAATTTTGCTGGTAATCAGTACAAAATATTTTACTATAATTTTTGGTAAAAAAGTAACTAAATCAGCAAATTTTTATCTCCATTGGAAAAAATGACCATTTATTATGCAATTCTTTGTTTTTATTTAACATAATTTTAACATATATAAGCACGTCATGACTATGTACACATCATGAATGGGCACATCATGACTATATGGGCACATCATGACTATATATGGGCACATCATGACTATATATGGGCACATCATGACTATGGGCATACAACAGTGTTTTGTCAAATGAAATTTGATAGTGTGTGAGGTAAATTGCCACCGATTATTACAATTATTACAACCAAGCAGTACTTGGTAAAGACAAACTTGATGTCTTGCTTTGAACAATATCACATATTTTTGGATCCACACAAGGCACTGACCCCAGAGCATCACTGCTGTTCTTGTTCTTGTACTTGTTACAAACGCAAAACTTTAAAAGCGTCCAGCGTCGCTAGTTTTGAATGAACGTGCAGGAAATTTTGTACACAAACTAAAGGTGATTTCCAAAAAAAAAAAAACGGTCATCGCTCTTTTTTTAAGTTGGACCTCGGGGTGATCCCCACACACTTACAAAACAAAATAGGGGTTTGAGCAAGGACTGTACATTACTGCCATTACCACTAATAGTGCACGTTGCATGGATGGCTCGGTCGGTTTTTAAGGATGTGTTCTAATGAACTTATGTTGTGAGTTCGAATTGCATCTTGATATTCAGTTATAATTTTTTCCAATTTTAAGAAATTTTATTTTTTTCAATTTTAAAAATATATTGATTTTGTATTAATTAAACATTCTAAATAATATTTTTTTGTTATTAGCTCTTCAAAGAAATGCCCCAATATAATAACTTGCGCCTCTACCGTATTTAAGCGTGGAGGAATGCGCGGACGAGTGAGCAGTTGCTGTTGTATGTTGGTTGTTTTATTTATTTATTTATTTATTTATTACGAAAATCATCCAACAGCGGAAGCCAATTACAGGATGTCTTATAATACATATAAATATATAGAAAAATACAAACAAGCGAAAGATAAATTGATAAATAACATTACAGTATAAAAAGGAAAAGAGAAATTTACAAATATATTGCGAGAAATTACATCAAAATTACAAATTGATTAATAAAATTACAGTATGAAATGAAATATAGAAATTTACAAGAAAATTGCACAAAATTACATCTTAAGCTAAAAATTGCAAGTTCAAAAAAATCCAGATAAAAAAATCCAGATAAGAAAATAAACAAACAAATGCAAAAGGTATAAATGACGAAGTATTTATCTATTCATGTTTATTAATCTCTTTCCTTATTAGAATTTCTTCTTGCCATTGCTCAAGCTTAGATCATGCTTAGACTATGTACTATAGATAACTAAAACTAGGTTTTGCGACCCAATCTTGG